GGGGCCGTGCGACGTGTGGCCACCGCTATTGAAAAAAGGTAATTTTGTGCTTGTGAAAAATAATCAATCCGTCCCCCACTACAGGCATGTAAATCCTTTCAAGGGGATTGATCCCCACAATCCCCACTCTGGACACGTCCCTGCAAGTCAGAAGAAGTTTCGAGTTACAAATCTTAGATTCGATCACCCCGAAACTTTTTATTTTTTGTTTTACTTTTTTCTCTGAACAGCCAGCTTTTTTCCACTGTCCAATATTCTGAATCAATTGTTTCTAATTATGGCCTGATTTTCACTATGAAATTTGATAGTAAATTAAGAAGCGTAGCTGGTCGAAAAGTTAGTTGAGAATTAATTCTATCTCTGAGAGATGTCTTAGCTTTAATCTACGAATCCTGTAATAGCACAAATTAGTCAACGATATATATCATAGTAACATCCAATGACTATCGATGATTATGAGAGATATTGACAGCATCCTAATTCCTCTTTCCAGTATTATAAAAAAAAACATCTTTTGACATAAATGAACATGAATGTGAAGATCTAGTCAATACTAAAAAAACTTATGTGGCATTAATTTAGAATTAAATTAGCATGCATCTACAGAAAATAGTTGATGCATCAATAATAAGTCAGATTGTGCCATTATGATGTAGTTGAAATGCATAAATACAATGTACTTTTGCAAAAGCAAATATTCTGTTGGTTTGTTTGTTAACAATCAGGGAGAGAAAAGCTATCCGTGTTGTACAATTCTTTTCTTTACTTTATACGTAGCTTTTTAAACTTTATTTCACATGTGTTTATAGAAGCACATTGTATTGTTTTCCATTATTGTCGGCAATGTCAATTTGATTGATGCCTTAAAGTTAATTCGTCCCTTGATAGTGAATTAAATTTTCCACAAATGAGATGCCTTAATTCGATATTCAATTTTCTAGTAAAAACAAGTCCGAAGTTCAGTACGATCTTGTTCTGAAATTGTGCAATCTCATTAATGTAATAACAGTGACTTCCATGCCGAAATTCAATTTTTCTTTTGGTTTCAGATTCTTATCATTATTTAAAAATATATAGGAATTATATTTGACTTTCAATTTTACGGACGTTAAATAGTCCTTCAATTAAGTGACGACTTCGCAACCAGTAACTGGAGTCAGCGATTAAATTTCATTGATTGGTCTAATTTATGGCGATTTCTCAAAAATCGTGCCTGTGACATAATCACGATAGAATCTGGTTTTTCATGAAATACGAATAGTCACGGTTTTACGCTAAGTTTTTTAATAATCACGAAAATTGCCAAAATTTTCACGACATGGTACCATTAATATTTCTAAAACTTGAGTCCAATTGCTTTTTGTAGTGAGAAATATGTTTTTAAGTCGATAGTTTTTTCATTAAATCAGTTACCAAATTGAATAAATAGTAATTTATTCATAAACATATCTTTTTTCACCACATTTTGTACCACACAAACATTTATTATACCCATGAAAACCACCCTATTAGATCATATTTTGCAGATAGGTTTCCATTGTTGATGCTGTGACGTATGACATAAAAGTTTTTTTTTCTTTGTTAACTACAAAACAAACAAACAATATATATACCATCATGTCGAGTGTAATCCTGATTTTATAATGCAGGATCTGCCATATACATAACCTATTTTATCGTACCATGATCCTGTGCATGAAGGAACAGAAAAATCTATCTTAATGATGCAGAACCTGCAGGATAAAATTTGAGTTCTGTAAAGCACCCTAATCACCGAATTGATTGTGATCTAATGAAATTTTGGTTTAGTAATGAAACCCATTATGATCGTGACTTTTCATTAATATCAGAAGCAGTCAAAATGGTAGTACACGTCATACAAGCAACTATTACTTCGCTTGAGAGATTATTTAGCTCAATTGAAGTGAAATTTACTAAAAGACACACATTTATTACCTATTCAAATTAATAATATACTATTTATTCTTTCATATGAGAAATTCAAAAAAAAAACAGTCAACACAAACCTTATCCATTCTGGTTGTCCATGTGTTTATATTTATTATATTTTGAATTCTGTGTCTTTATCTTTGTTTTTTTATTGTTTTGTTGCCCTTATAGATGTGAAGTACTTTTTTTTTCATCGTTCATTTTTAATTCTGCTGGAAATCATTTGATAACGATGATTAAAATGATTATATTATAAATGATTTTTGTATAAACAACAACTTAATGAAATTTGATATCGTACCTCAAATATAGACAAGATTTTATTCTTGTCAAGAAACCAATGAGCAGATCGTCTTCCACACCGGACGCAGCAGGGGTTTTTGTCCTGCCAGAATCAAGCAAAATGTCCTGCGATGTTCTACATACTGAAATGTATCATTTATGATTCGTAAAATGTACGAATAAAAAACAAACATACATGTGAGAACACTTGGCAAAACATATTTAAACTGCACTTTTTGCTGATTATCGATCCGTATGAATAAACCTTACGTTTCCTCTCTTCATCAGGGCTGCTCGAAAATGAGGTTCAACAAATTTAAAACAGCATGAAAAGAAGTAATTTTAAACGTCATATTTATAATCAGAATAATAAATGATTAGATTTTGATCATATTTGTACACGATATGCGATAGTCTTTTTAGATGCTTTATATCAATCAAACTTTTTTTTTCATTTCTTCATAAGACAAGCAAAACCATATAGGCCGATGGTTCTATTATTGCTCAGATCAATTTTAATTATTCTAAATTCACAGCATTTCTATGTCTCTTTTGTAATAGTTTGAATACGCAAGTTGCTTGATCACAATCAACTTCTATTAATTGTCGAACATAATTTTCTATAGCTACATTCTTTTATTCACTAGTTAACATTAAGAATATGGGGAGATTTTTTTTTATAGTGTGATTAAATATAAATGATAATATAAATATGAAATTTCGTAATCAATAAATATTGAGTAAACAAGTTCTTGAAGATCTAATATTAATCGGTGGGATATTCCGATGAGAATGACGTTTCATCAACACCATAATGTTTCTCTACTTTTCCACCAGGTGGCAACATTTGAAGACCACCTACATTAAATCTCACTTTCGCAAATTCACCATTAGGCAAAGCAATCTATATAATTTAAAAAGAAAACATAAAGCATTCTTCGATCTGTTTGAAATGATGATTTTCATTTACCATGAAATAGTACATCGTACCGCATGCTGGTATTTTACTAACAGTTACTGGTTTCAACACGAAATCAGATGGAATCGATGGAAACGTTTCACGTACTTTTTTCTCAATACCAGTTGCATGCTGTAAAACAAAAAATAGATACGAAAATGATAGGAAAAAATACAATCTAGAAAATATGATTCACTTCTTTATAAAGTTCTTCATCTTCATGAGTTAATGGGTAGAAGTTGCGATCCATCTCAGTACGAATTTGCCAATATTGTCAAATGTTAATCGAATCAATGGTAAGTATCTACAATGAATAAAAAAAACTACCAATGTATATATATATATGTATATTGATTATTACCAGGTAAGTACTGATAGTAGTGTCTTCTTTTTCGTTGTATGAAAAAAACATTTCACAATCATACAAGACTCTGTGAAGAGATAGCCTTGGTGTTGTTTATTGATAGCTAGTATGATTAGTCAACCGTGTCAAAACAACCTTTGATTATTCTAACAAATCAAATCGATTGACTCTTTTTCTATTCATGAATGTAACATACCTTTCTTTCTTTCTTTCCTTTTTCTATTTTATTCATAAAAAAATAGGGCATGTTTCATATAAGTATATGAATCAAAATAACTTTCTCAATATTCATAATGTTTGTAAGAAATCAGGAATTCGAACATCAACAAAAAAAAACTTGTTTCATCTTTTCTACAATTGGTTTGACAGAGCATGAACTTCTACTCATGAAAAATTTGTTCTTAACACGATTGACCGCTCTTTACAAGTGGAAAAAAATCAAAAATTTTGAACGTGTCATTTGTTTGAAAAAAGAAGCCTTCTTTCGTTTTATCCCAAATTTTCTACTTCGTTCCCCTCGCCAATTTCTGAAATTATTTGTTTTAGATTCAGCATTAAAAACTCAGTATGAAGAAAACATTGAATCGATTTCAAACCTAAAAGCCATATTGATGGTGGTGCCTCGAATGTACTCATTGTCAACCTTGCGGGTCATTTTTGTAAAAAAAATCTAGTTTTTCTTAGGGTAAACGAGAATACTGCTAATTATAATTTGACAAAACTGAAACTTAAGAGCGAATTAATCCTAATTCACTGATTGGTTATAATTATATGAATGTCTCTTATTGTACATTAACCTAATATTCAATCAAAAAATTAGAATTCCTTCAGTCCTCAGCAAGTTATTTATATCCATAAGAAGGTTAAGCAATTCTGTCGCTCGATTAATCATAACAACAGTCGAAAAAATACTCATGACTTTTCTTTTTCTTTTCCTGCGAGGAAATTGTGTTTAATTAAGTACCATTACCTTGGTAACAGATAGTCAGTTATTTTTTGAATTAAAATCAGTTTTTTACCAGAAAAACAAATTAAGATTCGAAATCAGAACCATAAAACTGAGTCACATAATGTATCTTTCGAGTAAATCGAACCAATTCCATTTTCAACGCTAATGCATAAATTAAAGTCTTCTATATGAAAGCTGAAAAATTGAAAGTTGTTACATTTACTCAAAAGATACTTCATAGGATTCGGTCCTTTCTCTCCACTTTGCATCTGTATTTGGTTTTCGGATGAAAGTATGACGTGAGTTCGAAGTTACTGAATACCGGCTAACAAGGCAACGGTACTCTTGTATAAATAGAATTTCTTAGCAACGGAACAAAATAAACGGAAAAGCGATGTGGCTTGTTCTCATCAATAAATAAACAAAAAGTCGATTGGTTTACAATAGCAGCCTATAAGAGGGTGCAATGGATACAATTTGAAGCGCCACCATGAAAAGACTTTTGGTTTAAAGTAAGTTTAAGATCTTGCGTATATAGATACGTAGCTTTGTGATTCTAAGGCAAATCCATTGTGATACAAATACCATTCTGATCCGCTAAAAATTTCTTCAAATAATTCGCTTGTTATTTTCTATTTATTAATCTGAATTCCGTTTCAGGTTGCACTCAACCATTTTGAAGAACAGTAGGAAATGAGAGAAATTTGCAGCACCGTCTCTAAAGTTATGTTGCAATTTTTTCAGAAAAGATCAAGTTAAAATCAAAACAAACTTCATATCATTCAGTAGAAATACAAGAGACTTTCATCGGAAAAATTTTCCGAATGAAGTTGGTTTGTATCTCAGTTCATTTTCTCTCGGTACGGTCACAGTGGGGATCAACTCATTGTTTTACGCAAAATATGACAGTAATAGTTTCAGACATTTACAAGAAGACTGACGTAGAAAACTTTGCATATTTAAAAAAAAAAGTGTTTTCGAAAAAGATGACATCTTGGAAGTTTGGAGATTTTTTTGAGCTGAAAAAGACGTTTATTAACGCTAAGATGTAATTTTCTATGAAGAGTAGCTCATGCTCAATCAAACCTTGATTGTAAAAAAACGAAAAATATTTGACTTGAAATTTGAATTGCCTGTACCTTACAAAATAATCACTTTTTTCATTTTAACAGAGATTAGTATATCATTATTATATTTTATGACAAAGAAGTCGAATTTTTCACACTTCACTCAGTCTTCATAACGAAAAAATGATAGTGAAATCGATCAATGAGATTGATAATACATCACGAACATTGTATTTTCTCCATAGACGTGATGCTAAATTTTTTCACATACGAAAGCTAATCAATTAAAAAAAACACGCTTAAAATTCTTGCCACGTGGGCTTTCTTTTTTTACATTACTATATGCAGCAGATTCTATTGAACTTTAAGCTTCCTAAAATTTTAATTAAAGATAAAGACCGGCATTAGTATAATCATTGTGAGCAGATGAATATTCATAAGAAAGGATGTTGTTGAAATACTAGAGAGTATATCACTCACTTATCTGCTATGGAACTTGGTTCAAAATCAAGTTCAATATTTGGTTAATTCGACAGCACATGTTCTTGCTCAATAGATAGTCATAGTGGATAATCACTTGCGAGATATGAAATTTTAACAAACTAACTAGTGAGAAAAATAATTCATATAATTGAAGGAGAACATGTAAAAGAATCAATAAATTAATGTAAAATGATTTTAAAATCTTACTTTATAACTATAATATGTGTGAAATTCTTTTTCACAGCAAATTGTTTCTGATGCCAATCTGAAATCTTTCGATATCTATGAAAACGTTTCACATAGTTTTCATTCACGAGGGAACATTCCCAAAGTGATCCGCTCCGTTTTGATTCATTCATACCTCATTCAATAGTGTATTGAGATAAGAAAAATTTTAAAAGGATTGGTGTCAATGGCCTACTGATGAAGAGTTACGGCTGTTGTGCTGAAATTTCTACTGTGAGCCAAACATTTCGGAAAAAACTAAAATGAAGAATTTCCACGTGAAATTTTACCTGCCGATAGATTTAATAATCATTAGATAGTCCTGACAGTTTCAACGACAACGAACATGGCTTTCTCGGAGTATCCAATATCCAACTAAACTGGATTATTGTGCCCTTCTACAGTAAACAGCTGTTTTTCTGAAAATTGAATAACTTGAGAAAGACAGGTTCGTTTTTGTTGAAACTTTCTAGACTATCCAGTAACTAGTAAGTCTATCTATAGATAAAATTTTCAATCGAAATTCTTGATGTTGATTTTTTCCAAAATTCCTGGCCTACGGTGAAAAATTCAATAAAACGGCCATAACTCTTCAGCAGTAGACCACTGGCACCAGCTCTTTCAAGCTTTCTCTTATCTCAATACACTGTTTCGAATGACGTGTGAATGAGTCAATACAGAGCGAATCACTTGGAAGTGTTCCCCCGTCAGTGTTGTCTACTTTATCGACGAAGTGCACGTCGCCGAATGTCTTTCGATCATCTATGTTTATCAGTTTAGGATATTGGATATAGCTTCCAGCAGTTATTCCGTACATTCACTCTGTTCGAATATTTACCATTCATATTCATAGAAATATACAGTACCTGACACTCTGAGAGTAGGTGGACCTTTTCGATTCTAGTGCAAAATTCCAAAAATAAGACGTGATGCTTTTTTTGAGTGACAAGAGAGTACCTATGCTTTATGTTGGTTTGACATCGTTCCTTCATACTTGTATTATAGTTGCAGCGAATCAAATATCTACATGAGTAGTATAGGATTCATAAACTATATTCGGGTGTATAACGCGTATTATAGAATGTATTGGCTCCTATACATGTCAAATTTGCAAGTTCAGTTTGACTCGAAAATCAGTCTCATCGAAAGATATTATCCATGTTGGAAATTTAGAACTCAAAAGCTAGAAGCTTGAGCTGAATTCACTTTCAAGTGTAACATATATGACACTCTTATTCACCTTCTCAATATGTAATTCCTCTTCTTATTCTACCCCTCTATCATTGTTCTGTGGGGGAAACATTTTCTTAAAATAGAGACCCTTTCAGACGTCTATAGTACCATTTCTATTCGGATATTGAATAAGAAGTTACCGAAATGATATAGCAATGCTTATTNTCTTATTTCATCTTGTTATTACCTGATATGTTTTATTTAAAAAAATACACCACAAGATGCAGCGTGAAAAGCTCTACAATTTATAAAGAACAATTATAAAAAAATGAAATAAGAAAAAAAACGAATTCACATTGCACCAAAAAAATATATCATTTGTGCACGATCGAAATTTGATCACTCGAAATTTTGTCCATTTTGAAAACAAAAAGTGCAACTATAAAATAAGCGGTCTTATGTAAATTGTAGAGCTTTTCAAGCTGCATCTTTTGATATATTTTGTTTTTTTTAATAGAGCGAAGTAAGGGATGAAAAAATTAGATGCAAAGCGCAACCATTCATTATGCCCAACCCGTTAATTTTTACAGCTTTTTGTATGTCTTTACGTTTCATCCTTTTTCAAATATATTTAAATCAATTTTGGGGCCTAGCCATGAATGGTTCTGTAGAGAATTTCAAGGGCTATCTTTTGATAAAAAAAGAGTGTTTTAATCACAGGGATAATAGAGGAGAAACGTCAAAAATACTAACAGGCCAATTCTTTATAGGACACCCGATAGATTCAAAAGAAAATGATATGTTTAATAAAATATTTATCTTCTTTATTTATTATTTATTTTCTTTCGAAACTTTGAGACTAAAGAAGTACCATGGACAGGATCAACAAGTTATTTAAATCCATGGAAATGTGAAGAGCTCACAAAAAAAAGAACTTTCGGCATTGGTTCTACTTTTTTGACTGATTTTTCTGTTTTTTTGATTTGATGAGGTGACAATACTAGATGACAACATTCCTGTTCTAATTTTAAGCAACCAAATGCATCGAATATATTATACTTGGAACCAGATCAGTTAGTTGGTCGATTCTTTTATTGACTTTTAGGACACCAAAGTTGGTCTATTTTGATCGTTTTTAACGATTTTCATGTTTTATAAATGATCAAGAGATATGAACGTAAACGTCTCCAAATGATAAATTTCTAGTTGTCGTCAAATTCACAGCTCTAAATATCGAGCTAACACTTTCTCATGGTACAATGAAGGTATCAAATAGTACTGAATGAATTTATTATGCTCACAAAAATTAGCCAAGTATTAGAGATTAATTTGAGCCTAAATTAAAGTTTTTCATCTCGAAATTTCGATCTCATTTTTCCAGGCCACATTTAACCGAGTCCCATAAAATCTTAATAGCTAGTAGTTTTCATTACAAAGTATTAGACAAGATTCTATTCTGTTGTCAAAATTTTGAAAATTACTAGCATTATGCAACTGTGAAAGTATTTACATATTAAGAAACCCTAAAATAGGAGATTTAATATAAAAATCGTAGTATCTTTCTCTCGATAATAGTATCAGTTTACGAGTTGAGATTTATTTGAAAAAAGTCACCTAAATTATAGTATAGGTGTTAGTTGCTGTGAGTTACTAAATGAAACATTTTGAAAGAAATCTTCATAATTACGAAACATGAGAGACTAAAATACGATTTTGTTACTATTGCAAATTCCAAGAATTATATAAGTTTTAGATTGTATGTCTTTGTAGAACTGAAGTAATAGATTGTTTCTCGAAAGAATTGATTGCTTAGTTGATATATCAGATACATCGATTTTTTGCCGATTAACTTGAAAATTTCAACCAACCAAATATTCTGTAAGAATTACACACTCAAAAACAATGTGAATATCGTTGACAAGACACCCTAGTAAAATATTATTATTCACTAGTATAAACCTTTTTTTCCTCGATTATTCCGATGATTTTATTATAGTAACATTTTATATCCTACTTGACGAGGGCAAGTAAGCAATAATATGATTTACTGCATCATATAGCTCAAAAAAATGCTTGTTACCTAAATATAACTATGTTTTTTTTTCATCGTATTTTAGTCAGAATGTTCGAGATTCATTCTCCTTGTCTTTAGAAAAAAGGTAATAAAGTAATCATGCATAAACATTTAATGACCTTCGATATAAAAATACTGCACACCTGTATTTTATTCACATTATTTTTATAGTACAAAAGAATGGTGGCTGTATTGATTTACGAAAGCGTTGGAACCACCTTGTTGGTAAATCGGAAGAAGAAGCAGTTCAAGCACCCACAGAAGATGATAGACAATAATTAAAATTATCAAATATTGAATTTATTTTTTTGTTTTTACAAAATTACGTGAACAAAATATCGAAGTAGTCGATGATAGTACACCAGAATCATCTGCAATGATTCAAAGTGCTGTCGTTCATGTCATTTTAGATGAGAATAAAAATGTTAAATATCCACCACTTCGACAAAACTAACAACCCATGTAAAAATTTTGGACAATTTAACGAAACCTTGTGACATGAAAATTTGTTAAAAATTTAACGAGTTCATAATTAAAAATTTGACAATTTTGACCGTGTAAACGCGTGAAAAGTGCAAAAAATTAACGCGTTTTTCATGTTTAATTGTATAATCTTAAACGAAGCTTCACGCAGTAATTTATCCATAAACGCCTGAAAACGCGTTAAATACGTTAACTGAAATATATATTACTTCTCAGAAGTTCTCATTGCTGTGCACTTCAAGTATGACGAAGTTCTTTCAATAAGCGATGCATTTCTAAGTTTCATTTGTCTCAAGAGAAAAAGTTAGGTAATCAGTTCAATATTGAATGCACTTTCTAATAAGATACTTTTAAGAAAACTTAATTGTCAATATAATTATTTCATAATAGACATTCCAATCAGCATGGAATTACAATATTTTTTTCTTTTTCCAATATCTCAGCACTTAAACTAGTTACATCTTTATTCGCTACAGTTTTGCTTTGATATACGTACTAGATACGTATTTCATAGCATGACCAAAATGATAAGACAATAACTAGTTTAAATTTTGAGATATTGAGAAAGGAAAAAATTTAATGTAATTCCATGTTTGTTTGAATGTCTATTATGAAATAATTGTATTGACAATTAAGTTTTCTTAAAAGTATCTTATTAGAAAGCACATTCGATATTGAATTGAGTATCTAGCTTTTTCTCTTGAGACAAATGAAACTTAGAAATGCATCGCTTATTGAAAGAATTTCGTCATACTTGAAGTGCACAGCAATGAGAAATTCTGAGCAGTAATATATATTTAGCTTATGCATTGCACTAGTTTGCACAAATTTTTCTTTTCATATAGTTTAATTCTATTTCACGTGATGCTTAGTCGGCGATTTTGAATGTTTTTAGACTATAGTTAGTATAAAAACATGTGCAAGATCAAATACTGAAACATATGTAGTAACTGTATACATATATATATATATATGCACTGCTTCTGATAAATACTTTTATAGTAACAAGATTCTTCAGCGATCAACATAATTGATAAAACGATATGTAACAGAAATTAAACAATAAGAAGATAAATGAAAAGTCCTAATACAATTTAATTATATTTTTTCTCTCAACTTAGTATATTAATTTACCTATTTACTAGCGATGAACAAGTCATATTTTCATATTAGATGTAAATTCTTTAAGTGAAGAAAATTAACTGATTGTTAAAGATCTTTAAAACTTACAAGGCGCGCTAAATAAAAATATTCTGAAATACATTCACTCAGCTGTAGAGCTACACTATAGTTGTACCTCTCTTTGTTCTACTAGTTTGTTTTACTTTCGTAATTAATTTGTTCTCAGCTAAAAAACTATCGAGAACAATAAGTTAGTTACATACATTTTCTTAAGTGCGCTTATAACTCTGTTATGCAAACCAAATAGAAAATGAATCTCAGAAATAAGTAACACAGAAATTTACATTAGTTGCATACTGATACAGATTGTACATAGTCCAAGTAGGAAATTACATTATCACACGCGTGCAATGTTTAACAAGAGAAAATGAGTTAGTTATCGTAAAAAAGACAAACACGCGTGAAAAATTATGAGAAATCTAACTCGTTTTCACGAATTTATGGAATCTAACGAATGTTAATGAAGTATTCTTCGTGAAACCTCGTTAATTTTTGTTTTAACGCAACTTTTGCTGTTAATCTCAACGCATAATTGAGTAAATATCTTTTTTTACTTTTACATGAAAAGAAACGGGAGATGTTAGAAGTAGAGAATTACATTCATTTGTATATAAAACTAATGAAAGAGTTTCTATACAAAACGTGAAAGAATAATAATTATTGTGTGAGTTGAATACAAGTCAGTTTGCCAATGAATAATACAAACTTGAAGTTACTTTAAAACTATTTTCTGTTTAATTTGATAAAAAGTTCCTAATACTTGAATTGATATAGGTTACTGATACACTTCATATTTTGTAAAGATGAGTTTTGTGAAGGACGTATAAACAAAAAAGACGACATGAATATCAAGAGCGTTTTATGCATGACAAAAATCAGTGCATATAACGATGAATAATCTAGTGACTTTCGTTAATAATAAAATTATTCATTAAAACTCGTTAAAAATCTTCACGTGTGAAAACGAATACAATATTTAACGAGAAAAAATGAGTTAGTTACCGTCAAAAAGACAATCACGTATGAAAAAGCATGAAAAATTTAACGCGTCTTTACGAATGTATGAAATCTAACAGAAGTTCATTGAAGTATTTTTCGTGAAACTTCATTAATTTATCTTTTAACGCAACTTTTCCCGTTAATTTCTACAAGAATTTCGTTAAATGCCTTTTTAATTTTTACATGGGGAAAAAAATAAACATTTATTTTATAATAATGTTATTTGTCTTACTCATAATAAATAGTCATAAGCTCTTTTTTCTTCTCTAAGTAAAATAAAGTTTGATAAGAGTCAAGAGCGCAAAATAAAATAAACAAGAACTCTAGATGACTTAATTATCATTCGATGGGTCGTGATTTATTCGGTATAAAATTCGGTGCTCATTTAGCTGCTCATCTAACACCAGAATGGCGTTCTCAATATCTTCAATATGAAGCTATGGTTGCTATACTTTATGCTGCTGTTGATCGTGCTCCATCTCATGCTGAAACAATTCGTAATCGTTATTTTTCACGAATTGATGAACGTTTTTTTGCTTATTGTAATAAAGAACTTCTTAAAATTAATGTTTTTTTTGGTGAAAAATTATCTGAAAGTATTCGTCGTTTTGAGCAACTTCGTACTGAATTAAATTATTTTAAGAAACCTTTAAATATTCATGAATCTGAACAGACAATAATTCGACGAAGACGACAGTATAGAAAAATTCTTCGTTCAAATTATAATCATATTGATGATTTAAAATTAGCATTTAGTGAACTTTATTTATTATTAGTACTTTTACAAAATTATCAAACATTAAATTATATGGGTTTTAAAAAAATTTTAACTAAACATGATAAATTATTTCATAGATTAAATGGAATTGAATGGTTTAAAACAAATATTGATTCATCACCATTTGTTAATAATCAACAAGTATCAAGTTTAATTGATGAAGTCGAAACATTAGTTACTGATCATTTAGAAAATGGAAATAGAAATATTTATGCTAGAGGAACGATATCGCAATAATTTGCGTGCAGGAATAATAAACAACTTTTTCAGTAGCTTATTTTCCATAATACAGTTATTATCAGCATATTTAGTTTATTATAGCGAACATGAAAAAACGTTTCTGATTATATTTCAGATGTTATAGTTTTATTGATACAAAAAACAATCTTTTCTTAGAACTAAAATATAAAACTTTAATTAAACTTTATTCAGTCAACTTGTTGGTTTGGTTTATTCTTCAAAAATTGTTCAATTTCCTCCATAATATCCGGTGGTAATTTTGGAATAATTATCAATGTTTAAATATTCTGCTACTCAACTTGAAAGACTCGAGCTTGTAATTATTGTGTTGACATTCAAAAGTTTTTGCCGTTTAAGTAAGTAGTAATTGAGCTAATATTGCACCGAATTTCTTAGTAATTAGTTTCAAATTTTAAACTGTTATCATCATTCCGATCAAATTCTTTTTTTCTACAAGTTTATCAAAGACATTCATCAACTTGTAGCGATTCGCTAAATTATGTCGACAAAGTTTTTGTTGAACCTAATCGATTATTACCACTTTCACAATACTTATTAGTATATATTTTCTAGTCGAAATACCTGATGTTAATGACGATCAAATTGTTGTTCAGTAACTAATTGATAGTTTATAAAGACAAGCATATTCAGCTTTAAATCGAGGACGATGTAACATGTTATCTTAAAGAAAACAAAAAGTTTTCTTTCAAGGAACGATTCTGATGTTTCCCAATAAAAAGCATAGCCTTTATCAATAAATCCTTTAAAAACTTCATTCATGGTTATCTTTGAATCAGAGCAATGACTAAAAATAAAATCAATATAACCTAACTGAAATCTTTATAAACTACCTTTAATTCCTCCATATGAACTTTTATGTGATAAATCTTTTAAATTAGCTTTATTAAGGTCTGCATGATAATATGGTGTACTTCAAAAAAATTATTGCAGTAACTAAATCACTACATTGAATACCATTTTGTTCAAATATTTTCTTTTTTACCTCTTAACCCACAATTATTTCAATTTTACCAACTGAATACTTTAACATTATTAAAAACCAATTACAACCGTTGTCATATGCTACTTTCATCTAATTACAAGCTTCATTTACATCAATTTATTCATCATAATTTTAGAGAAGAGAAAGTTATTTTTATTTTTATTTGGATAATTTTACTCAAGCATCATATGAAAGTAAATTGACTTTAAGACCTATTCGACTTGCATGCTGATATCTGATAAGATCTTTATAATTGTGAATGTCAGTTGACCTGAAGACAAATCAATATTTAAAGGTATAAATATCTGTTTTTTCCTTTCTGCGTCATTTTTTTTTCATGCCCTAGAAATTCCTGTTCGTCTCTTTTTGCATCGTGATAGTTAAATGATTGCATAAAAAAAAGTACAAGTGAAATGGATAGAGAAGATGATTGAAATAAAAATATCAGTAAACCACTTATATTTTAAAATCTTATTCAACATCTTATCTGTCAAGAAAAATACATCGACGCATTTCTATAAGGCATTGTCTTCACTGGAAAAGTTAATATCAAAAATAAAGATTTGTGATTTGTGACAAAGTTAATTTATATTGAATTCATTTTTGAAAGATGAATAAAACTTAATGCACCGATCAGGAATAAACTAAGTTCACTAATTAGAATAATGACTATCTCGAGCAGGCTATATTATAAAGATAGATAGAGATTTATACTTCAGATAATACAATAAGATTTACATAAAAATAATGACTGAAATAGAGAGACGATGGCGATGCAATTTTTAGGGTTTGTTTGGCAGAACACATAGACGAAACAATAGATTTATTCATTAAAAATTCCAAAAATAATGTATGTATTATTGAAACAACACAAAAGCAATAATTCTTGATTGCGAAATGTGCAAAAATTATGCACGTTCGCTATGTTTTCGTAGTAGACGCTTAGTTCTGATTGGCAGATTAAAATGAGAGATGAAGACGCACGTGAATTGAATGCAAACATAAATCAGTATTATTTTCCTAGTGAGGATAATGTTTGATCTGTTGACTGGTAAGTTGTAGTTGTCTATTTCTTGCTAGTTATTTTCAAAAAACATAATGTAGATACCTTTTAATTGGGTTCACAGTGAAATTTTATCTGTACTTAGAATCAAGAAGGTCTGAATAATATTTGTAAAAACAATGATATTCATTATTTTCAAAGAAAATTAACAGATGTCCCTCTTTGCGATTTTATTGCATTCAAGGATTTGCAATTATCCATAATAGAGATCATAATAGTTAATTATACTAAAAAGAAAGAGAATAAAAATGGCTATGACAAAAATATCATATAATGAACACTTTAACAATATCTAATTTTTCTATACATGCATGTTTTGAATTAACGCCATAGTAAGATGCCTAGAGCAAGTGCATTAGCTGATATGATATAGAAAAAATGCACTGAGTCAACTATGTTTATTGTAGATCACGGTGTCTTTTTTATTTTTCATTATGTTTAATCGTTAGATATACAATGATTGGTTTCAAGAGTAAAGAATCAGAAATACGATTTTATTTTTATTTTTTCTCGATAATCAATAAAATTCTTTTAATCAATTCAACACGTGACGCAGTGATATAAACCGTGACAAGAAAGGCCAATCAGTGTTGAATACACTTAGTATGGCGACATCTAATTTTTGTAGAAATGTCAGATAAAGAAATTGTGATATATATATATATTAAATTAGGTAGTATATTCACATATATATTTTATTTTTAGGAAAGATGAATTTCACACAAAGAATAGTGCTATATTACAGTGACATTTTTTAACACGAGTGCAAAAGATTGTACCTAACAATGATGCAAAAAAGAGATGTCACTAAAATCAACTTTCTAATTTTAGCTGATCGAAAGAATTTTATATCATATATAATCTGGATTAGAGATGTGTTTCATATACTGTTAATGCCAGCTTTTTAAAATGAGTTTCATTATCAATGCATCAATGGATTCAAATTACGACATAGATTTGATGATTCATATATATGCGATTGTAGACGACAGTAGTTAGTTTTTTTTTCCTTCTATAAACGAAAAATATTTAAGAGAAAAACATTATTTGAAGTTCATATAGTTAATAAAATTTAAGATTATTCTAGATAAAAATAACATTTAATTATGAATACTATATAATGGATTCAATTCAGTTGTAATTATAGGTAATAAATATTATAAAAACTGAAGATTAATAGTGTATTCTCATTTTAATAACATTCATACTCATCATAGTAAGTCTTCTATATACGCTTCTTCAGATTAATAATAAGAAGAATATGTTTCTATTCTGAAAGTAAATCAATGTTACATCGAGAAGAATAGTACTAATCTTTTCATGCGTCACTATTTTCTTCAAAGTAAAGCTATAGAAGATTATATATAATGATGTCCTTGAAGTCGTAGTATCCTTTTTTTGCTGTCCAATGAGATGAGCATTCATCTATATCTCATTTTTACTATTAAAATTATAAAAGCAAACATTATACTAATAGTAATCTGTGAGATAAATCCTCTTGTTTTTCTTTATAGTATTTAGAGTCTAATAGCAAAAAAAATGACTTTACCATCATTCAACATTGATCTTCTGTTGTTGTTTTTTTTTCATTTGCTCTTCAGTTGTAATAAACAAAAATTAAAGTTAATTGATAAACTTTCATGCCCAAAATTAAGATTTTCTTTACATCGGCTTGATTAGTACTACGCTTTATCAAAATAATTTAACAAAAACAACACTTTTTTTATTGTTAATAGAGAAACAAATTAGCCATTTGATAAATTTGAATTGATTATGTATTTACATTACATGTAGAATAGATTCATGATGTTTTGTTTTGTACTTTTACATTCATCATTCATCAAAATAAAATTATGATCTTGACTAAATTGATTAGACACAAAAGATATGACAGATCAGTATAATCTTTTTTGGCAGGATAAAAAATAAAAAAATATTGTTAAAACAAACTAAAATAAGTTCAAGAAGTATTCTCTTAACAGAATCAGATGAAATTCTTTGAAAAAAAAATTACAAATCTTTTGGTAGAAATATTTATGTCGGAGTAAATTAATGTTGATGAGTATACGCTACAGGATTCTCTGTAGACGACATTTCTAACTGACGTTTTAATTTAGATTTATAGAATTGATAGTAAAGAGAAGATTTATTAAATTTAGTTTACTAAATTGAAAAGATCAATGTAAAATTTTTAATGTGATCGAATTTGTCGTTGAAATTATTTTCTTTTCAAGTTTGCTTTTGTACCTAATAGGAGAAAACAACAATGACATTGTTAATCACTATTTTTCTATGTCAGAAAAACAGAGATTAAATCTCTAGGGAAACAAAATTAAAAGAAAAATAAATGAAGTAAGTCTCATAATAATAAGAACTCAGGAAAAAGGAGGAAAAAACATTCTTATTGACATTATAAACATAATATAATAACAAAACTCAAAAACAGATGTTATTAACATGTCTGACAGAATCCAAGAACACGATTCGAATATTATGAAAAAGTTTTCTCTTGTTAGATTTTATTTATTATGAAACAGTGCTTATTATATTTATTAAATAATAGTTTTCATTTTAATATTAATAAAAAGTCGAACAAGAAATAAATTCATAAATAGCATCAATTTCTTTTATTATTATGTTAAGAAAATTGACAAGTTCTTTTTACTCCTATTCTTATTCTTTATTTACAATGTCTTCGGTAGAAACTAGGTTGTGTATTTTTCACCTCATATAATCACGAATCTCATTAGTGAATTTAATTATTTTAACGAATGCCATTCTATAAATTTTAAAATAGTGCTGAATATTAGAGAGAAAAAAAATATTGCGAAGCTCGTTTTTTCTTCAAATTATATTTTTTTAATTATTTTAAATAGGACGAGATATACTTTTTTCTACAATATTATTTCTTCTCTCATCTGAAAAAAGTCCTTGCAATCAGAGAGCTAATCGTAGTTTAAATAATATCTTTTCAACAATATAAAGAAATTTAAATAAAAATAAAAATATTGAAGTTTATCTATTCAAATTGACTTTGTTAATTCAGCTTTATTTATAACAATACCATGGCTATTTATATCTGGCACACGGTAAAATATCGTTATTCTTCTTATAAAGCTAATCATTAATACAACGTATAAGAAGAAAGCTTTTCTTTAGGTTATATTCAGGTGATAATATATACATTAAATGAATGATAGTAGGTGATATATTCAGCTCTCTATATTGTATTTTGTTATTTATTTTTTGTCATTATTAAATGACTCATACAAATCGAATATCGCTTTCTTTTTTCTCCATTGTTGTTAGTATGATTGCGCACAAGCAATTCTCTTTTCGTATTCGTCCATTCCGTTATATTGCCTTTTTTTCTTTCTCTTCTTTCATTTTTTTTTTCTTTCTATTGATGTTAAACACATTTTTCTGCTTTTACCGTCACATCATCTAACCTGCAAAACAGTATGTTTGCCAAGAAAAAATATCTCGCCATCCATGCGCACACGCCTTTCAGTATTATGAGACGAATGACTAGAAGAAGAAAACAAAAATGAATAGGAGAATAAGAAAACATATTGCTATTTTTTCCAAAAGACATGCTATATGTTCATCTGTCTTAATTTTATATTGATATGCAAAGTTTATTTCATATCTATTAGATTATCTCATATCATATTTTCTTTTTTCTTTTTCGTATCATCAATCATGTCATGATGAACTCCCATGTGACTTACTAACCCTATGAAACTCTAGTAAGACTAAAAAATTACTTATTGATCTAGTTCTGATTCTTATTAGTAGTATTTTTGATCTTCTAAAAAAACAGCGTTAACTGATTAGTTTCGCATAAAAGATAATAGAGAGCGAAAAGATACCAAGTACACATGAGGATAAGAAAGAACTCTTTGATCCAGAAAACATATCCTGGGGCAAATCATGACACGCAAAAAATAAAGAGAATAGTATTGACTATTAAACAATTCTGTAACTTTTTAGATTTTTGTATACCTTAGATAGACATAGTCATGTACCTATCTAATAGCGACATGAGAGACAATGCCAATGATGATCATAATTTACAAACACCACAAACAAACACATTACCTATCACCTCTAATGTACGTATGGATCGTTTATTATACTTGCTTTAACTATGTACATATTGTCTCATACAATCATACGTGTCAAGTCGCACTTGAATTAAGCGTACACTATGTTTTGCTTTCTTTTAGCTACCACAAGCAGCGTCTCCACCATGTCCCGCATTACTTGTAATAGATGACAATTCGAATTCTGAGGACTCAACTATAAATAATACCAATGACATTCCAAATAAACCATTGATTTCGTCTAATGCTCAAATGTCACATGTTCAAATATCAACAAATTTATCGCCGTCCACAGTTGGTAAGTGTTTTTTCTAAATTTCTCTTTGGTTTTTGTTACATAGTTCGTATTTTACAATAAATTAGATATTGTAAATAATACAGCTGAACAACAACGTCGTCGAAATTCATCCATAGCAAAATTACTCGGTGGCCATCCATTACATAATCAACAATACGAAGGTAGACATCTAATTTGTATTTTAAATTGATTAATAGATTTATTTCTTTTAGAAATAAATCAACAAATACTTGATTCTCAATCAGCTCAAAATGTAACTAATTCTAGTGATCACGGAACTGATAGTGGTATTCAACGAACACGTAGTTCAATAACACGAACTTTACTTATGAACACAGGTAAATGAAAAACAAAACTAATAAAGCCTAAAATTGGAAATTCTTTATTACGAATCTTTAGAACGAACTAATAACATGACAGAAATTCCCACAAAAACACAAGTAGCATCAACACCACCATTTTCAAAAGACTTCGAGTATTTAATACGTCGAGAACCTGAAAAATCCGATATCGAACATGCACCATTCATACTTCAACAAAAAGGTAAAACCTATTTTAATCATTTTATTCTGCATGAAAAAAAAGAATTTTGTTTTTAGATTCAGCATCAAAAGTTTGTCAGAATATGAATTCTTCTAATAAAACAAATGTTCAATTATCCATGCAACCAAAATTAAAACGAAAGAGGTAATAAAAAATATTTTTACAAATAAAATTTTATTGAAAATAAAAATTTTCAAGATCTTTTTCAAAACCATCATTAATATCACCAAATAAATCAACAACAAATGTTCCACCATTTTCTCTGCATGATCCATTTGAACTTGAATCATCAGCAATAAATGCAGTTCCATCGGTACATCATCAACAAAATGAATTTCTTCATTTTAATTCATCAAAACGTCCTCGTCATTCAAATCAACAACATCAACATCAACAGCAACAACATAGTTTATTAATCAATAACTCAACAACAAATCAACCTTCATATCCTTATGATAAAATGAATATGAACTCTTCAGTTTATAGTCAATTTTCTATACATCATGATCGAATTCCTTCAAATACTTGTCCGCTTTATTCACATACAGCTAAATTATTAATGCCATCACCCATCGAACCATTAACATCATCTGGAACTGAGCCACATCATAATCATAACAATAATAATAAGAGCGCCACTATGACATCAATACGTAAAGCAAAAGTAAATATGATAAAAAACTTCAAAACTGAAAAATACTGATGAATCTACTTAAAACAGCGCAAGTAGGACATCATTAATTGACAATAGAAATATGGAGCGGCATTTAACAGTATTAAATAAACGTGCCTTACTTTTTTTTGTTAAATGATACGATTTGAAGGACGATTTGTTTTTTTTGTCTATTCGAATACCATATTTTATTTAGTCTATTCATTATATCCATCCCATATAAAAAACAAAAAGATCAGATAAAATAATCCGATTATAATCAAAAATAATTGAAGAACATAAAGTTTTACCGAGTATTCTGACTAATTTCGCTTATAATTAATTCAATGTTAATAATATTTCATGGGAATAAAAGAACAAAATACTTATTAAAGATTTTACTAATTATCATCAAGCAAAAATCGATTAAAAGCAATGTTTTTAGTCCAATCGTTTTATCAATTATAATCGAAATTGATCAGAATAATCAATTAAATTCGAATGTTTTTCAATTATATTTTTTATTATAATCGGTTCTTAATTGGTTTTGGTCTGATTTTTTTATCTAATATTATTTTTACATGAGATATCTGAAGATTAGAAGAATCAACATCCTTGAATTATATCTTTGTCAATTGGGAAATATTTCCCAGCTGTTACTACATCGATCGATACATGTTCGACACCGTCAAAAAAAAAAGATCCTGTCTTCCAATTGATATAAGTAACCTTTGCTCGTGGTTTTTGAAGACTTTTCCATATACCTCGAGAAGATATAGACAATTCTTTTCTTCTATCAACATATTATTGAAGCCATTTGATATATAAATAACAAATCACATTCGATTGTCATGTTTATTAATCACCAGTATTCATAAACATCTTTTACAATTCTAATCTACATAAAACTGACAAGTCAGTACCCATGATATTAATTAAAAGAAACTACTAAGAACCTAAACTACGTATAATAAGTTAATTCAACAGTCAAAGTACATTAAGTATTCAGAAAATTAACTTACACTTCAGACAGTCTATTTATCATTTTGACAGTTTTGTTCCGGTTAACTAAACTACAGTAGAATCATTCATCAATATATCTTAATCAATCTCCACACATATTATTTGTCATAGAAACTTAATTTTCTTACAAACAAAAACAAATATGTGCATATTAATTAATGAGAATATTCTGTATAAAACATAATTAATTTATCTGTTATGTGAATGTAAGGAGAGATATTGCTTTCGCATAAAACGAAATTCTGAACTGATCTTTCCATTTAATGTTCTAAAGTATTCTTTTGAAAATGAAATTTTTATAAAGAAAAATTATTAAAATGTTTTATCTTTTTTTTTTCAGTCGATACTTGTTCAACCCGAACGATGTGACTTTTCAAGGCAACGATCGTATTCTCATTCATCTAATCAGTCTGATGCATTTTTAGCATCATCATCTGAACCAAGTGTACCATTAAAAAAACGTTTACTTCATGCATATAACAACGAGCAGCGTCCTACATAATCACTGTGATCTCTTTTGTGTTTGTTTAGTTTATTGGTTTTTCCTTTTATTTTGTTCTTGTTAAAACTAAACAAAATACAAATCTCATTCTAATAACAAAAACAAGAAAAGTAGATTGATTTATACTTTTGTTTGTTTTTCTTTTTTGTGTGTGTATTTGTATATATTCGTTTAATTTTGTAAGTCTACACTTGGACGAAAGGAAAAGAAAAAGTTCTCAATAAACGTTTTTTTTTTAAATAAAACAAAAATATTATTATTTTTTTCTCAGCATTATAAAATGAAATAAAATAAACAAATTGAATGAAAATCTAATTGAGAACCATTTGCTTTTGTTTTGTTCTTTTATTTTCATACATTTTAATTTAAACAAAGGACTTGTGTGGTATATATAATTTCCTATTTATTGCTTGGTAATAACATTTATCATCATGATTTCTCGTATCTGAAGATTGAGTGAGTCTAAATATTCAAGTGTACTGCACGACACTGTATTATGCTATGCAACATTTATTTAAATTGTGTGGAATTTTCTATTTCATTGATAAAATAAAACATTCTCATAAGAATATGACAGTAAAGTTTAAAATTTATTTTATTGAAGAATTGTGGCAATCAAAGGTGTCGTATTAGTAATAGAATTAATAAAATGCTATTACTTATGCATTAGTATTATTAACACTTATGCTTTGCCATTAGAATTTATTAATATTAATATGTTACTTGCGACTAGATCTTCGAGGATTTAAGCTCAAAACTTCAGAATAATAGGACATTTTTTTTTGTCGAAATCGTTTTCTCAAAACAGAACCAATGTTTTTTTCTCCTAGGAAAGGTTATTCTCATAACAGAACAAAGATTTCTTGTACAGAAAATGCCATTCCAATAATAGAATGAAAACTAATTGTACCAGAAAAGACTATTCCAATTATAGAACAAGAGAATTCAATTATTGGGAAATTTTGAACTTGAAATTCCACAGACCTAGTCGTAGGTCATCTCTTAGCATTGGCTATTTCTAATGGCAAATAATACCAAAATATTAAGATTAATTTTACTATCCACACATGAGCATTAGAATTAATATTAATTAATACTAATACTAAATCTAATACGATACTCTTAGTGGAAATTCAATCATTCATCATAAACAAATAAAAATTGATTGTATTACAAAGAGTTGAATGTGATTTATTAGCTAATGTCGTTTTAGAAAATATTTAGATATGAAACTCTCATGATGAATGATATTGATACAAAATTACTTGTGACCGTTGCAACAATGATTGTTTAATACTGATTGTCAATGTTTGAGGCTTTTGAACAGAAATTCAATTTCCTAACCAATGTTGAAGTGTAAAAAATATCGAAACATATATATTCTCATGAAAGTTCTAGCATTTGAATTTGAAATTAGTGGCGAGTAATATAAAAGCAAGAACGTTCAATAACTGAAACGAAGATGGGGGTGTTAGGTGTAATTATGAAATGTGAGTAATGGGGTGTTGGATATCTCTTAATCAAAATTCATACTCTCACTTTCATCCTTCGAAAAAGCTGTTGGTTTTTAAAGATTTTCCACGTTCTCCTGTCTCGAAAGTACTTGAAGAGAAAAATGAGGACATATTTGCAATTAGCACGGAAAACTGCGTCGAATAATGTGAGATTTGTTAATTATTAAAATAAAAATGTTTTCGACAAAAGTTTAGGATAAGGTCTCCGCGATGCACTTTACATTGAAAATACTCTTCTACGAATTTCACTTTTTTTCCCATCAGATTTTTGTTGAGTAATGTAAATTAACGTTTCGATGGGAAAAAATGTGTTTTTGATGGAAAAAATAAGTTATCTCCACGTGCTCTATTGAAATCATCCATTGTGTAATGCAACAAATGAAATAAATATTATTGAATTTTTTATCTTTAACGAAACAATAATTTATAGCATTTCAACATTTCAGCAAAATGATAATTTGATCTTTCAATTCTTTTACAACTCGACATATTTATTATTCGACGTTTTTATCTATTTACATTTTATTTTTCGAAATTTTTCTTTTCGATCCTAGTAGACTTAATCAGAGGTTCGAAAGACAGCTAAAAATTCTCATCTTTTGTATCGTTGTCAACAATCAGACCAAGTAAATTAAATGGGTATAAACAAGCTCAAATAGATAGCAAAAGACAAACGTGTGCAAAAAAAAACGAGAAAAATCACTCGTATTTTTGCTGCGTATTTTAAAAAGATCTGTTGTTCATTCATTATGAATTAGAATCCATCAGGTTGGTTCCGAAACTTTTGAACCCGAGAGGTTCTAGTCATCTGACAAGGAAAGATCTCTAAGTGACAAGTAGGTTTCGAATTGGAACTATGTTCAATCGACAGGATCTAGTGAGGCCTTTGCTATTCAGAGAATAAGTTTTTAATGGGTTTCTCCTGTAGGACCCTAGTTATCAAGCGAAATCATACTTTTCAATTTTGATCTGAAACTTAGCCCATATAAACATATCAACTAGACTAGCTTATAGAAAACATTCTGAAATTTTTCTTACGGGCTAGTCTAATCGTTGTCTATGTATGGGCAACGTCTCACGTCAAAATTGAAAAGTATGATTTCGTTTGATAACTAGGACCTTACAGGAGAAATCCACTAAAAATTGAATATCTGAATAGCAAAGGCCTGGCTGATCGAATCAATCTAGGGTATTTACTTACTCATTAGATCCTATCGATTGAATATAGTTCCAGCTTAAATGCGAATTATCACTTGGTAACTGTGCCTCTTAAGAAATCTGTTGGGTAGACTAATCATCGAATAAAAGAAACCTGAAACAAATATCTTATATCTTCGGACGACTATTCGATTTCGATTTGAAAAATTCAATGAGAGTATTAAAGTATAATTCAGTCGGGTCCGAGTTCAAAAATTCTGGACCTGACGTGCTCTATTATGCATTCAATCGAGTGCGTTCTGTTGTTATCATTACCAATCCCCAGCGGTAAACTAATATGTAACCTACATTTTGAGTAAAGTCATCACTGATCTATCCCAGCTGCTCTAAAATCATTATATGGAGTTCACCTCCTCATTATCAAATAGTTCAACTATATAAAACAAAATATTTTCTCAATCATTATTCACTCACTTTCTTGACTATATAATGTTACAATAGACACTCATCAACTTTGAAAGTTTGTCTTTCTTTCCTGTTTTATTACTCGTTTACAAATAAATAAAACTCATAAATATTTTTAGTAAAACATTTTTTCTTTCTATCATGAGCAATTTATTATATTAAAACCAAAAATAAATCATTAGAAAGCATGCAATCACAAACATACATAAACATGCAATAAAAAACAGATGTCGTTGGGCCAATAAATTAAAAAAAAACAACAAAATGAATGGAAAATAGATGAATCAACAAGACAAAACAAATAACTAAACAATAAAGAAGATAACTTCTGTATTTAACAGAGATTCCATAAACACAGTGACCATAAAATTTTTTCGTCTTCTTTTCTATATTATCAAAAAAACGAAAACTATTTTTCTTTTGATTTTTATGAAAACAACAATCATAACAATGTTAAAATAAATATGACGTCAACTTTTAAAAACAAAAGGAAAACAAAAAATTAAACAAGGAAAAAAAAATAGTCAAGTGACATTCAATTTTGCTTTTAAAATGGTTATAGAATTGCACATGAAAACAAAAAAAAAAAGAAGACAATAAATAGTAACAATTAATAAGGAAGAATTTTTTGATTTTTCAATAAAACTATTCTAAATTCTCATAAATATTTTCGTGATACGCGATCTTGACGGTTTCTAGAAAATAAAATTGTTTTAAAAAGTTTAGATTAGTATAAACATTAAAGTTGAATTATAGCAGCTTTCTAAGATTACGTAATCTCAATGAAGATCATCTGTTGACAGACATTATTGTCAATGCTTAGATTCAATGAGTTATTGGACGACCAGGCAGGTTTCTAAACTTCGGGATTTTTTTTATCACTTGACTTTATGTATATTCTGCTGAATATTGATTACTGAGTAATGAAATATAAATGTTAGAATCAATGATTCATTTTTTGAATTATTAATTCCATTGATATTTGTTAGGTTTATAAATAGAAAAGTTTCAAGAGACAAGTTATGTTCTTTTAAAAACCATAGAATATACCCAAGTCAAACTATATGGATGTCTTTCATGCTAAAAAAATTCGATAAAATGGTAAAAGAAAAAATTCGTTCACCAGATTCTTGCTTTTAATTACTACACACTGTTTGGAAAGGGTATTTATTTTTTGTTTCCAGAAATATTGTTCTGCTGATTTTTGATAGGTCTATTTAAAAAAAAACATACGTTTTTTACGGGTATCTTTGATATTTTGACTTTTTTATTCGAAAAATAAAAAAAATACCCAATCCAAACAGTGACTTATACTTGCAAAAAAAATATTTCCAGTTCGATTGAACATAGCATCTCGGAGAAACGGGGATCATTTTTCCCATTGTGATCCTAGTATCTCATAGAAGACAGAATTCGAAAATTTTGATTCCATGACAAATTTTGCTCTACTCGTCAATATGTAACTGCTCTGGAAATTTTAAAATTTTTCCGAGAAGCTGCGCTCCGTAACTCCAGAAAGGAATTGGAAAACTGCTCAAAAACTCAAAATGCCATTTTATGAACGATATCAAATTCAACTTTAATATAAACACTAAGAACATGAGATAGCAAAGGTTTTAATATTTACTTGAGTGCAAAAAAACCAATTAGAACAACAATTTGTATTGTAATAGCACCTATAAATGTAAATGTACCCACACAAGAACTATCTTTTCCACCAGTTACTGTTGGACATTTAACTTGATTTGACTTGAAAACAAAGAAAAAAGGAAGACATTATTTATCTCAAAAGGTAATCAATTGAAATTTTTTCTTACTGATTTTTGTAATAATGTATTTGTTTCCGATTTAATCATTCTGACTATTTCTCGAATTTCATTGACTACCGTTCCATCTATATTTGAAGTAACTACTTGTTGTCCTGTACCCATAGGTCTTTGATTATTAATACTTGTTTGAATATAATTGACTTTTTGTTGTAAATCCGTTAAAACTTGTCTATTATATGATCAAATATTCAAAAGAAAAAGAAGAAAAAAAACTTTTTTCTAAACATACGCATAGCTTTGAATAGTTCTTGTCATCTCAGTATTTGAATTTATCACTCGATTTACATCTTGAACTCGAGCTACATCAGCAGGTACACTGGAACCACCCTATATTAAAAAACACATAAGTTTGATAGTTTAAGATGTGGTTTCTTGTTTCTTTTATTTGTACCTGTCCAACAATTTGTTGTTGTGTGTCAGTAGTTGTAGATAATCGTTCAACACGTCCCAATAGTTCAATCATTTTTTTATCAATATTTGTTAAGGATAAACGAATTTGATCTTGTCCTTCTAAGATAGTACGAAATTCACGATCATATTCACTTTCATACTAAAAATAAAACAAAAAACGAATTTTAAATAATTAAATAAATTGTTGTAATACATACTAATGCTTTTTCATTATATGGTGTTGTTAAATCAGGATGTTCTTTTTTATAACTGAAATATTAAAAAAATATAATTGTTTTTTGTTTTTTGAAAATAATAAAAACTAAAAACGAACTCGTCTTGTTGTTTTTTAAGTTCTTGTTCATATTTTTCGTATTCTTGTTTATATTTTCTTGCTTGTTCGTCTGTTGCTGCTTGATTTTGTGCCGATGCTTGTTTATCAGTATAAGTATTTGTTATAAATTCTAATACATCATGATCATCAGCAAGACCACCTGTTGCAGCTGTTACACCAAGATAACCAGTTTTTGGTAATTGTACTCCATCAATACGTGTACAAAATTCAAATGCATTATCATCTTGTGTTATACCATTATTAAGATAAATCTTAAATTAAAAAACCAATATTCATATATACATAGTTAATAATTTTTATTCTATGACATACAGTTAATCCTTGGTTGATATATTCAATTTTAAGCCGAATTGGAAATGGTTTATTACGAAAATCTCGAATGCAACTTCCTTGAATTTGTCCACTACCATCAAGTTGATGATCATACGTTTTGGTGCCATCGTTAGCCATAACAGCTATTATTGGATTATTTTGCTAAGAAAAAAAAAAGAAAAGTTATTAATTTTTATATATGTATAAAAAAATTTCGTTTTTTTTTTTTTTTTTTTGTCTCGGAGTCATGAATCAGCCAAGTGATCACAGTCATCATGCTGGGATTAACACTCCTATAATTTATTATTGCCATCATTGATTAAGAGACACATATCATTGTCTGTTTTCAGACTAAGGACTCTGCCCAATGATGGCATTTAGATTCGAACATACGAACAAAGACTTTAAACAAAATAACTAAATTAGTTTTATAAAATATGAATAAAGCGAATAAATGATATTTTGAACACTATTTAAATTAAATTTTAAAATGGAACAGATTTTACTGAATAAACAACATAAATAGATAAAGCACAATAATATATAACTTACACGATGAAGAGTCTATGAATTAGGAAAATTTAGGCATTTTTTGTTTATAGTGTTTATTAAAAATAAAAAGAAGAAAAATATGTTTCTTAATGTAACTTACCAATGCGTCATTGTCGAATGAATCGAGAAATACACCTAAGCCTTTCCAATAATCATTTGAACCAAATACAGGACCTTCAACGCCTGCTTGTTCTGTAAACCAGATAGCCTAAAAAGGAAAACCAATGAATAAATAGAAAATTCTCTAAATCCTCTGATTCTAAGCAAATAAAGAAAAAAAAAAGGTCAGTTTTAAATAGGTATGTAAATAGAGGATTAACGAAGAATAACCTATTTAACTATGAGTAAATCAAAAGAAAAGAACACTATCGAGGATTTTTTAGTTGAGTGTCTTAAAAATCAAATTTTTATCCGAATCTTTAAATATCGAAATAAAGATTCGACTCTCTATCTTGATTAGAAAAAAACGAATGAAAACACTGCTTTTATAATAATGAAAAATCAAAACATCTGCTAATTAGTACTTCTTGATTGATAAAGTCCTACAATTTCAGTATTATATACAATTAAATATGCTCTTGCTGCATAAGATCATGAATAAATTGAAAGAACACTGGCATGAATGAAGTAAACATCATAATGAATTCTTTTAAAACTATGATTTTCTTTTAGTTAAATAAAAATAGATTATTTGATAGGGTGCAAAGGATACCAAACATTTTTCGCTGTTTTATACATGACTGAATACAGTTCGATAAACTAAATAAGAAAATTTATTTTATTATTGTTTTTCAAAGCCTTTTGATAAACGAAATTGAGTTTTTTTCCAACAGTTTTTAATAGTCCATTTTTCGAAAAGTACGTTTTTCGTAGCACAACTGACCGACTTTTTCGATATCGAAAAAAAACTCTGTTTCATGCTTATTTTAAAACTGGTCCGTGGAAATTAGTCTCATAAACTCAGTTTTTCATAGCGAATCTATAAAAGTTAGTTGTATAATAAATACGAAATGGAAAATTTGTTGAAATCGAAAAAAATAGATCAGTTTTGTAGTATGAAAAACGTACTTTTCAAAAAAATGGACCACTCAAGACTATTGAAAAAATTCGACTTCTTTTATCAAAAGGCTTTGAAAAAACACACCTACTTACTCAATCCATAGAGCTCTATTCAACCATGTAAAAAATTTATTTTGTGTACTTTCTCAATGAACGAAATTCCGGTAACGCTCGAATTTTTCATTTAAAATTTAAAAAAACTCGATGTTTTACCATTCCATCAGCACCAAGACGACCTCGACCAGTTACACGTAATTTAACTTCAAGAAGCCAATTATCTGCAGTCATTGTATTCTTACTCCAAATCCAGCCTATATATAAAATTAATAATTATATAAACATGAAAATTAAATATCGCTACCTTTTTGACTTCGAATTGATGGTGTCACACGTACTTGCTCATCACTAGCAATAGCACCTGAATTCATAAAAAGAAAACAAATAAATTCAAGATTTAGTTGTTTGATTAAAATAAAACTTACTTCCACCAAATGCCCAAAATGGAACAGTTCCATCTTTAAAAGCAATATGAGGTCCTTTAAATGATAATTTATATTCAAATCTTTTAACTAGTTGGGGATGTAGTATAGATGGATCAGTATAAGCATATATAACAATAATAGAAGAATATATCGTTAGAATAAATTGATAAAATTTTGTCATAATATTTCTAATCTCACAGTATAATGGTGGGTAAATATCTGATTAAAATCAGATTTTCAAATTTGTAAAAGCGAAAATGAACTAATCACCAATCAAGTTTTCAGGCCAGGTGTTGAATACGTATTTGATTCAATCTTCAAATTGACGTAATCAGTTTGTTTTTTTTCTACAGAACAAAAATAATAATTAACAAAGAAAATGTTTTTTGATTAAAAATAACAAAAACAATTGATTTTTTAAATAAAAGTTATAAAAGAAGATGTCGTTTCGATTAAAGATTAATATTACCTCTTTTTTTTATCGTCGATTGGCATATTTTCTTAACCAATAGAAGGTATGTAGACTCTGTACATGTGAATTGAATTCAATTAGAAGTGCTAGTACACGATGATATTTCTTCGATTTTTTTGTGAATGACGATGTATATCGGAATCAAAGGAGCTTTTACAATTTAGGACCCCAAATAATCAACTTTCTCACCCTCACCCACACTTTTGTGCTTGTGTTGTGACCAATCAGATGTCTGGGGTTCTAAAGTGTAAAAGAACCGTAAAAAGTCCGAAAAACATAATTTTTCCTGTGTTGCATATAGAATATAAACGGTTCACTTACAATCGACATTAAAAAAAACGAAGGTTTTCGAAATCAAGAGCATTTCTTCAATATGATAATCGTTCATTCTCTCCGTTGTTTTTCTATAGTTTCTTAGTAATTTCATGATTACTTTAGTTTCGCTATGTTTTTTTTGTTTCAATGGTAAATAAGCCTTTGAAAAAAAATGACTTATCGTGTGGACACTTCTAATGTTGAACAGATTTCTTTGTTGACATTTCATTGAGAGATGATATTAAATTTTTTCATGTAAAGGATAAAACACATTTACAGCAAAATAGTCGATTCATAGCTCTAATGAGAAAATGATATGGTAGCTTTAAAACTGTTTATAATACGTACTTTATAAGAAATATTTTCTTGTTAAATTATTTCTTCAAAATGTTTATTTCTTTTTGATTTTATATTCAGATGTTTTCCATACCAAGAAATTCTCCTATTAAGGCTATATTTTTCTCATCTATTTCTCGTCGATTATGTCGCGGATTAAGTTCTGAAGCGAAATCTGCTGGCAAAGAACAACAAGAAATTGAGGAGAAAAAAATTAAACAACAAAAATATCAAGAATTAGAAAAACTTGAATTTCGCCCATTATATCTAGATGCACAGGCAACAACACCGATGGTAAATTATTCTTTTTCGAAGTCTATTTCAATAGACTTTCTTTATTTTTTTAATACATATAGGATCCACGTGTACTTGATCAAATGTTACCTTATATGACACATTTATATGGTAATCCACATTCAAGAACACATGCATTTGGATGGGAAAGTGAAAAGGCTATTGAAACTGCACGAGAAGTAACCATATCTATGAATTATATAATGAACTATTTTTTTTTCTTAATATAATATTATAGAAAGTTGCTAAATTAATAAATGCTGATCCAAAAGAAATTGTCTTTACAAGCGGAGCAACAGAATCGAATAATATTGCTGTTAAAGGTGTTGCTCGTTTTTATAAAGAAAAAAAGAAACATGTTGTTACAACGCAAACAGTAAATTTCTTTTTTTTCCCTTCTATTCATTGTTAAATTTCATTTTATTTTATTATTTAGGAACATAAGTGTGTACTTGATTCAATGAGAGTATTAGAAAGTGAAGGTTTTAAAGTAACCTATCTTCCGGTGAAAAAGAATGGTCTTATTGATTTAAAAGTAAAATTACACAAAAAAGAATATTTTTTTTTGTATTCTATAAAAATCTTTAGGAACTTGAATCAGTTTTAACACCAGATACAAGTTTATGTTCAGTTATGATGGTAAATAATGAAATTGGTGTTCGTCAATCAGTAAAAGAGATTGGTATTGTAATATTTGTTTGGTTAAATCTTCTATAGTTTTAATTTTTTTTTGTAGGCAAATTATGTCGATCAAAAAAAGTTTTCTTTCATACAGATGCAGCACAATCAGTTGGAAAAATACCGATTGATGTCAATGAAATGAATCTTGATCTTTTATCAATAAGTGGTCATAAAATTTATGGACCAAAAGGTGTTGGTGCACTTTATATTCGTCGACGACCTCGTGTACGTCTTGATCCGATTCAAACTGGTGGTGGACAAGAACGAAATATTCGTAGTGGTACTGTTCCTACTCCTCTTGTTGTTGGTCTTGGTGCTGCTTGCCAAGTAGCACAACAAGAAATTGCTGTATGTTAAAAATACATTTATTTTTCTTTTTGTGAAACTCATATATGTGTCAGCGTCCAATCTCGGATTGACGTAATTCTATTCAGTAAAATATCAATTACTCTTTAGATAGACGTTGGATTCAAATTATTTTTTTTGAACTATGTTCACACAATGCCTGTGTATTTGGAACAATTGTGATTTGGTAGATTTTAGTAAAATTTTAAGAGTTATGAATAAATTTCTAGAAAACAACTTTGATGAAAAATTTTTATTAAATTTTTGAATCTAAATTTATCTTCTCCCTAAATGCTTGTAATACTTAAAACGGCATTGTGCGAACATAATTTCAAAAAATAGTTCCAATCCAACGTCTATCTCAAGAGTAATTGATTTTTTAGTGAACAGAATTGTGTCAATCCGAGATTGGACGCGTTCAATCTCGGATTCGACATTCGCCTAGGCCAATCTGAGATTGGACATAATCTCAGTTTGGACGCTGACATATGTTTTTGGAGAAATTAGTAAGCGTAAGTTTTCACTCAAAATTTTGCGGCTCCATATTACACATCTTAACAACTGGGATTAATAATCATTAAGTTTTGTCCCCTTAAGAAAGATAATGCTTGTGAAAAACATGAAAATAGTGATAAATACATGGGAATATAGCTCGAAGTGTGGCATAATTTTTTATTTGGCATTTCGTTTTTCGAAATAAATTTCTTCTTGAAAAAGATGGTGTTTGTTCAAATGAAGTGGAAAATTACTTTCGTTTTTTCTTTGTTTATAGTTTCTTTTTTTTTTGGTTGCGCATTCCATAGTTTTCGAAGGAGCTTCATTGTAGGAAATTGCTTTTGTTTGAAAGACTATATCAAGATGCAGAGCGTGACAGAATCTGATTTTTGAATCAAGCTTCGCTATCACTATATAAAAGAGTACTTTTATAATTTAGAACCCTATTTTTTGAGAGCTTTTTCAAAAGATTGAATTTTCCTTCTCTTGAAAAGTAAGAATAAAAAAGGGACTTTGTAATATCCTGCATTCAAAAAAAAACAATTTGAGTACATAGAATGAAGACCCACAAAGAATTGTGAGTTCCCATATGAATTATTTTTGACTGTTGTTAGTTAAAACATTTCCCGACAACATCATAGCATAGGAATGAAAATTTCATGAGATTTGAATATACCTGGTCCAAGATGCATTTTTGAGGATGCTTTAATCGAAGTTCCGCGGGTCTTCGAGACTTTAGCAACCGGAGTTGATGGTCATGGAATAAATTTCCGTAGCAATCGCACATGTAAATCAATCGTTTTATGCTGTTGTCCCTTGTGGTTACACAGGCAAAACAAGAGATTTGCATAGAGAACAACATTGCTTGAAATTTTAAGATCAAAGACAAAAAGAAAGCAAAGTAAACAGTGTACTATTAAAATACTAAAATACTCTCTACTAATTTAACGTACAAAAACGTATGTGACTTTCGCATTTTAGTCCTATAGGAGCTGCGCTAACAAGCTTTCTAATTAAAATAAACCATTCTAGAATGATGAAAAACGAGTCGCACAATTATCAAAAAGATTAATTGATGGAATTACTAAACAATGTACAAATGTTATTCTTAATGGTGATCCAGAATCACGTTATCCTGGTTGTGTTAATTTATCATTTGCTTATATTGAAGGAGAATCATTATTAATGGCACTTAAAGATATTGCTTTGTCATCTGGAAGGTAGAAAAAAAATGTCGCTTTAGATAGAAAAGATTATTTGATTTATTAGTGCATGCACATCTGCATCACTTGAACCATCTTATGTACTTCGTGCAATTGGTGCTGATGAAGATTTAGCACATTCCTCAATTCGGTAAGGTATTTGTTTTTATTGTTTTCGAAATATAGGGTGCTCTAAAAAATCTGAACGAATAAAAAAAATCGCGAATAGTTTCTCAGCAATTCAAACAATTTAACTACGTTTTTTACTGTTTCAGTGACTTATTCATTAAAGTTTTATTCAGTAAACTTCAAATAGAATGTCTATGTCTACAACAGAAGTCAGACTTAACTTAATTTGACTAATGGCTAAATTGAACCAGCTACTGTTGTAAAACAAATGCTGCTAGTCGAATTCGGCAAAAACACGCGACTGAATTACATATCAGCTACTTTGTAAAACTGGTACTGTCGAAAATAGTTCACATTTCTGAAGACCTACGAGAATTCTTGAAGAAAAAGTCAATGAAGTTAAGAATGTTTGTGAAAATGAGCTAGGATCAAGTATTTAGTCTATTGCAGAAGCCTGCTTATTACCACAGACAACAGCAAACCGGATTAGGACGGAACATCTCTTATTAAAGCCATACACGATATAACTTGCTCAGCAGTTCTACAAAGAAGAGTTATCTAGATATAGCACTTAATCCTAGCTCATTTCTACACTTTATTGACTTTTCTCCAGTAATTACCAGAGACTTAAATGCACTGGGCTCGATCCAGCGCGTGGATGGAAGATTTTTTTTAAATATAAAACCATGGACCGACAGTCTTCGGTCTAGACCAACCAATTCAGATTTCTGATAACAGCTCTCTAGTCTTTGAGAACGTCATTGATTGTCGACAGTATTGGTTTCACAACATTGCTGGAATGTGTCGTTAATGCAATATTTAGTTGACTTTTTTCAAATTCAATTTGTGGTTATTTTTTTTTACAATATTGGCTTATTTGAATTTAATCATGAGTAAAATTATTTGAATTTTGACTTCTTTGGGTGCAGACATTTGATATGAAATATATTGGATATAACTTGAATGAATATGTGATCAAACTGTAAAGAAAGATATTTAAATTCTTTGAATTGTGCAGGAGTTATTTACGTTTCTCTTTTTCATTCGGATTTTCGAAACATCCTGTATAATTTATTATATTCTTTGAAAGATTTGGTATTGGTCGTTTCACAACGGAAGCCGAAATTGATTATACAATTGGAAAGACTGTTGAACATGTTAAACGACTTCGTGAAATGAGGTTAGATATATAATTATGAAATAATAATTTAGTTGCTTTTTTTTGTGTTTTGTTCTATTTAGCCCACTATGGGAAATGGTTCAAGAAGGAATAGATTTGAGAAGTATCAAATGGTCACAACATTGAGATTGATCGTTTTTTGTTTTGTAATATATTATAATCAAGCTTTTGTTTCATGTTTTATTTTCTAAATAAACTGATTCGAATTGTATTTGTGATTCTATTTTTTCTAATTTTAAATGTCTTATATAGAACTAACATGAGTGATCCAATATGTCAATTAATGGACGATATTGAAGGATTATGTAAACGTTGTTATCATCTTCAAAAATCGAATAATGAAATGTATGGTAAGAAATTTATTAATTTGATTGATAGAATTTTTCTTTTTGTTTTCATGATAAATTATTTTAGATTATATAAAAGAAGATAAACAATTACAAGAATATATTGATGAAAATGAGAAAATTATTGAAAAATATCATCGAAAAATAAATGAAATCTTTCAATTCATAAAAGATAATAATAATCAACAAGGTGAAATACATTGGTCACCTATTGCGATTGATTATAAAAAAATGGAAGAAGAAGAAAAAAGATTATGTGATGAAAAGAAAAAGAAATTAGTAGGAAATTCAACGGATCATGAACAAGTTATATCTGATGATAAAGGCGCATATTTGTAGCTTTTTTTTTATAAATAAAATATCGTTACATTTATCGTAGATGTTGAACATTTGTTTTTCATTACGAAGTACGAATTTGTTTGATACAGTTCTAACTTAAATATAACTTATCATTCATCGAAGAAAATTCAAAAAGTTTCAATCAAACAAAAATTGAATCTGTACACGACCAATTCTTTGACTAAAATAGAACATAATTTATGAAGCAGACCTCGTGGTAATACTATTTTCTTGATATTTTGCGCTCTGTCGCAATAGAATAATGTCTACACGATTATAGCGTGTTCTACATTATATTTAACCTATTTTTAAGGTTTTTATTAAAATCATTGTAGAATATTTTTCATTAAGAAAAAAAGATCTAATGTTCATATTATATTTGTTTCAAATATTAAGTTTTTTCGTGTTGTTTCATGATTGATTTATAAGTAGACTTCCAAGGAGTTGGTAGTTTTACGTTGGTAATTATTTTTGGTTTCAAATGAATCATAAAGAAATGTAGTTTTCGTCGACATCTTAACTCTTCATCATCTCGAAAAAAAAATTTAAAATCATTATGAAATTTTGTATAAATTTATCTGTATTGTTTAACACTTGACCCCCCGCCACTAATCAAGCAAAGCTGATGCTGAGTCGACCACAGAAATAGATTATATGAGTGCTCAATATGACGTCCCTATTGTTAAATTCAAGGGAAGTCATTTCACTGTATAGATACAAAATGAGTCACAAATGATCCATTGGTGGTGAATGACATAAAAATTTGACTTCTTGACTTATTTTTGTAACTGCATATTTTTATTTATTCGTATCAAGCTATAAGTCTTTTATTATTATGAGTTGTTTACAAGAAAAAAGATATTTTTCAAAAACATATATAATAAGTTTGTTTCATGTGAATCAAAATTTACATAATAAATAGCAAAAGTATCAATGTTTGTATGTCAGATATATCTGATAATTTTTACAATCATAATCTTTAAAACAATTATGTGTTGTATAAAAATATAAATGGACTTGGCATTTGGAACAATATACGTTTGTCTTCATTGAACAACCTTCATTTTTACATCGCAGACGTAAACTTTGTTGATATTGCAGCCAATGTTCTAAACCATCAAAACGCACTATACTTGAAATATTCGAGGCAGTTTCTCCTTTTTTTTTGTCTCATAAGATTATTATCATCATCATCTGATTCCGATGATGATTGTTTTGTAACTAATACCTTTAAGATATCTATGTTAAATAAGTATGAATGACACGAATGAATAAGTGTGTTCTTTATTGAAGAGATAAACTGTATTTATACAAGAAAGAAAGTGAGAAGAGAAGTCGAAAAGAGAAAGTAATTCTCTTTTGTTATTCAATGTTGCTGTGTCACAAAATTGCATGCTTTTTCAATTAAAACAGAGGAATAGGTCAAACAGATAAGTGTCCAAGAAACAGAACTGAAAAGAAAAGAAAAGAAAAACAAGTACAGATGAAACAGTTAGTGGACAATAAATGGTGAATTAAAACATAAAGAAGAAATATCAACAGAATGACAATCGAAAATATCATTACTTGTGTATGATTATTGGGAAAGGACTCTTCCTTAGTCATGTGTAATAATATGTCAATCTTATCAAGGTATATTAATGATTAGTCATAATAAATGTTTTTAGGATGAGCATGTTATTAGTAATGAGTTTATATAAAAAACACAGCATCTGCAAAAGAAGGCATTTTTCATGTCATTCAACACCAATGGGTCATATATGACCCAAATTGTTCCCAAGAATAGTCTTCCAACGCATTGATTCAATAGTTTGTGAAAAGATTCTGGATAGATAGTTTATGCCTAAGGTAACATAAAAAAATAAATAGCCAATGTGTTCTGATAAAAAGACAAAAAAAGAAAAGAAATTGGATTTTTCGATTTTTTTTGAAAAATCATGATTTTTCAACTCAAATATTCTACCAATAGACAATAAAAAAAGGTGTGATTCTTTAGCACTCTACAGCACACTAAGTGCTATACACAATGTTAAAGAACCATCTTGATTTGATGCTTTATTACTCCAAACAGATAGATTTTCTAAATGGGTCACACATGACCCATGAGGGGGTAAAGGGCTAACGAATATTATCTTTTTCTCTGTTAAAAATAATCATAGATTTAGCGAATCATTGAGTGCAACTTTGAATTATATTTCTAAATACTTCATTAAGATTTAAACTCTGTCTAATACAATTCTTAATTTATGATTTAAAGCATGTCGCTATTAATAAAGTCAATTGCCACAAACTAAAGAGAAAACATCCCCCAAGTGTCCAATCAATTTTTGATCGAGACTTTGTTCAAGTGGGAGTGTTGAAGTCTAAAATGATTCAGTTATCTAAGTTCTTATTCTTGAGATATCGAATTTTTACTGTATTTTTTAACAGAAAACTGTTGTCTCTCTCAAGTCACGATGAAAATCAAAATTTGAGTTACAACTTGAAACTTTGCATAAACGAAGCTTTCGATGACAGTAGTTCATTGTGAATGTTTCATTGACTTTTGGATCTCTTACTCTAAGATATGTATACTGAAAAACTTTCTGTTTAATACTGATATCTCAGAATATCAGATACTTAAATTAGTGAAATTTTCACAATGAATTAGTATCATCGAAAGTTTCACTTGTACAATGTTTCAAGTCGAAACTCGAAGTTCGATTGTCATAGTTACTTGAGGATGACCACAATTTTCTGTTCAAAAACACAGTAAAAACTATATATTTCAAGACTAAATATTCAGATAACTGGATTCTCTTACAACTTTACACTACTCACCATAAACTCTCACTTGAATATAGTCTCGATCAAAAAGCGATCGAACATTTGAAGACATTCCCTTGTACATTGTAATTATGAAATACTGCTTTAAAAGATTAACTTATATATGTAATGTAAATAGAGGTCTATGTAAGGAGGAAAAAGCGAGAATTCCACTACTTTCAAGTAAGAGTGGAATCTGGTGCTTCGAATTACTCAAGTCTGACTTTTTACATTTTGAATATATAATTTTGAAAGTTGTACTCAATATTTTACTAAAAATATATTAAGTTTTCGAAATAAAATAGATAATATTTGTTAAACAAAAACCAATTTAAAAAAAAGTTTGATTCAAATCGATGCAAACACTAAAAGATATCGCCAAAAAGGAAAAGAATGAGTGATATATTATATCCCTTACTGTTGTTAATATAATTTCTAACACCTCGTATTGGGGAATAAGTGTACTGTGCATAACTGCTAGAGCAGCAAGTGTCATCAATTTATTACTGCTCTATCCACTTCTATTCAGAGTTTGTTCTGTACAGAAATAATAAAATTGGTTTTACAATATCTTGATTTTTCCCCTATGAAATTGTTCTGCTTTTTTTCTGATTTCAACACATAGATCTCTGCAATCCCTAATAACGTAACAAGAATAAACAGCTATTAAACCTTGATTAATACTATCACAGTTTTGAATAATCACTGTACTATTAACGTGATGTATTAAACAAGAATTTTTGTGCTTCCGTTGCATCTGATAGAAATTACCATTAAAATGCATTTCCTTTTTTTTTTCAGAAATGAATAGTTGAAGATTAAATCTATTTATTATGAAATTCGTTGAATGGATGAACATAGATAATTGATTGATGATGTTATTATTATCTACAAAATTCTTTTACATCAATCATTGTTGGTTAATATTTTCATAACATGACATGCTGATTAATCATTCAAGTTTCATTCTGTCTTGTTCTAATATAAATAATGTCTATACATCGAATGAAACTTCAATATAAATCTAAAGTAAATTATTATAATATTTTTTGCGAGCTTCATATTTTGTGCTTAATAATCTTTTTCATTTATCTTTTGATAACATGGTACAGTGACATCACAAATCAAAATCTTTCTCCTTGAGGGAATAAATGATATTGTATAGGCTTATAATCAAAAATTTTCATTTTTCCTCTTAGTCAATTTGAGTCATTCACTGATAGACTGAGAAACATCAGTTGATGTTCAAATAACATGAATGATCGAAAAGTATACGTCTTTTATATTTATTACATCAGTTAAAAACATAAATAGAACTGTTTCCTTTTTTTTTAATAAATTGAGTGTATTTTTCATTTCTATTCACGTTTTTATTCTCGAAAAAATTGTGATAGATGTTCAGGTGTTTTACGTGCATCATCTTCTGCATCATCGAAAATATCATATTGATGATTGTCAAGGGATGGTAACAATGATGTCGTTGGTGAATAAAAATCTAGTAAAATGAATATACAAATAAAGATATTGTCTTACAAAAAAAAAATAAAAATAAAAAAAAGCACACCATTCGACAATTGTCGACGACCATGTAAACGCCAAGTATTGAATGTCCATCGTTTCTGATGTATTGGTAATTTCATCAAATCATCATTTGTTGGCATTGATCGTATAGGAAATACAATCAACATAATTAATGCTAATATGTCGATTATTATAAAAGTTTTAAAACAATCCATTTTAAGGCCTGAACTCATATGATTCGAAAGAAAGAATGAGATGTCAGTCTTGATTCTTCGTGTTGTTAAAACTTCTCTTTTCTTGATAAAATAATGCGTTGAAGAAAAAAGGAAATATGACAGATAGGCAAGTTAAAATTATTACGCATGACTACAATCTTTTGGAAAATGAATCAACATGTTAATCACTAGTGCAATAGTGAATACAGTGATTGCTATTCTTAACTTCCTTTTCTTCATTTATTAAAGCAAAACAACCGTTCTTTTTCTAACTATTATTGATTGATGATTCTTTTGGGAGTTTATACCTTTTTCCGAAGTTTTTTCTGTGATGACTCTATTCATGTTTTTTCTACTCCTCCTCTTTTTTGTTACACATGATAATTAAGATGATGACATGTATGTGAGCATGGGCGTATGTTTCTAAGGCTTGTTCTAGACAAATAATCTAATCTAATTGAAATATAAACAAAATATTTTGATTTCATATTGTAAAAATGAAATCTTTCAGTGCGTATACGTATAAGAAACAAAAAAAAGAAAGGTTCGAGCGAGGTTTGAACTCGCGACCTTCTGCGTGTAAAGCAGACGTGATAACCGCTACACCATCGAACCGACAGTATCGACCGTAGGGAACAAGAGAGACGTGATGATCAAAGTTGTATTATAAAAAAAGAACTTTATCCGAAATATATTTTATTTAATTAAAGATAATATTTGATTGAGCTACTAGTTTTAAGTAATGTTGGATAACTAATAGCATTGATAATAGAACGAATGAACTAACAAAAAAACATTTTTTTAGAAAAAAAGAGATATTATTTTAGCATTAATCAGTAAACCTCCTCTCAGTTTAGAAGCCCCCGGGGCTTCTAAACTGTCCACCATCCAAAATTTTCGGAGGGGGCTTCTATTAAGTCCTAAAATTTTTCAATAGTTTTAGATGGAAAATACCTTTGAAAACAATAATAATGATTTTACAGCTGCCTATAACATTGTTGTTTAGATTTAATAGAAAGAAACGGAAATTTCTTTTTTCAAATTTTTCTTATTATTTTATTTCATATCGATGTTTCGAAGTATAAATCTTCATTACCGAGATATAAGATGAGATTGTTACAAAAATAGAAAATTTTACGTAGAACAAAATAAGAACAAAGAGAAGAAAAAGAGACATTTATTTATCTCTCTTCATATTTTATAGAGGTATTGATAATTAATTTCTATTCGTTATGGTCTTGTATACATTACACGATGTGGAATTAATTAAAATTGAATTAAGAGACGTGATTGGTGCATTAAAAGTTAAATCATCTTCTCGAGATGACCTAAATCTTAATGCACCAATCACGTTGCTTAATTCAAATTAAGTTCGTGTAGTGTGTACAAGGCCTTTGTTCTTTTTTTGTTCTGTGTAAAATTTTCTATTTTTGTAACAATCTCGTTCGATATCTCGGTAATGAGCACTTATATCTCGAAATGTCGATATGAAATAAAACAAAACAAAAAATTTGAAAAAAAGAAATTTCTGTTTCTTTCTATCAAATTTAAACAATAATGTTATATACTCCTGTTAAATCATTATTATTATTGGATGGGAAAAATTTCAAACGGTTTTAGGGATTTTCAAGAGTTGTTCAAACGATTTTCTAGGAGATTTCAAGATTTTTATGCTGGTAAATAAGAAAATGAAACAAATTCTTACCTTCAGATCTTGAATTTTGAAAGTTTTATGATGAAAATTCCAATAAAAATTTTCAAAAAGTTTTTAAAATGGAGGGGCTTCTAATACATCTTTCACATTGATCCTTCTGGAAGGGGCTTCTAATATGGGAGGGGCTTCTATTATGGGGAGGGGTTTAATCTATCTATCACAATAGAAAAAAACAAAGTCAAGTCGAGTTAAAGCAACAAGTTCTAAAGTAATTTCTTTATCTCAAAGCTAGTATATAAATAACATAATTACTAAAATTCTTAATACATGTTTCAACCGTTTATTACAAAGTAAGTTCATTATTATACATTACTTCAGAAAAAAAATACCTTGAATCATTATTGATAATGCTACAAACATTTATGATATTTCATTTGAACATAAATTTTATTTTCCGACTGCACACAAAGCTGAAATTCTTGTTCACAGTTGGAAAAATTATGCAAATAGTCTAAATAGATTAATATGGAATATTCATTCTTGGTATGATGATCAATTAATAACTAAATGTAAACTTGATTGTAGACAAAAATAAGAAAAACGTGTCAGTCAATGTCAATGGATTTTAGAATAGTAGTTTTCAGATTTCTGAAAAGAATGAACTTTTCAAAAATACTAAGACATGAACAAGTAGTTTCTATGAACCTTCGGCAATTCTCAGGAAATGTCTAAGACATCTTTAACATAAATATAGATAAATTTACTTATTAGTCTATAAAATAGTACAGAAGCTCACTCACTAAACAATACCTACAAAACTTTCCGGTAATTTTGTTAATGACAAAAATTCCTTTTGCATTCATATAGTAAATAAAATTATAAGTCTACAGAAATATAAAAGCCTATCGACAAAATTATCAAACTTTTCGGTAATTTTTCTGTAATTTCCGAAGGTTCCAGAACATACTTTCTCACGAATTGGTAATTAGAGAATTTTAGAAATTATCTTCTGATATGCTGATAAATACAAGAATTTTCTTAAGAAATATCTTCATATGTGATAATGATTACCAAAATTTATTAGAAATAAGCTACTCACGTATTAGTAATTTCGAAAATTCTTTATTTCGAAAATCTAAACATACCACGAAGTGCATTATATCATTTAATCTAAAATTTATATTCTTTTTGCTTGTAAAATAAAATAAGGGTATTCATTCTCTTACAGAGAGCATTAGAAGTATTCAATAAGATTTATTTTCAATTTTTTTCTGCCGTCGTAAGTACTAGAAATATTCCAAACAGAAATTCGACTACAGAATACTGTTTCCGAACAGAATATAAGGGAATAAAAGTTATTATAAGGTGGTTTGAGAGACAAGAGCTGCAGAAAACAAAAAATCTAGTTTTTTAGCACCTAGAAAATTTAAATATATTTTTTGTTTAGGCTATATAGAATGATAGAGCCAAATGATTCTCTACAAAATTAAACGTCTTCGGGTTTTCTGCAACGTTTTTTCAGCTGAAATACAACAGTTTTACAGAAATCTGTAAAATCATATTTTTTACTATTTTCTATAGAAAAGACCTCTTTTGACCTTCAATCAAATTACTGTGTCTAAACTAAAAATGTTGCAGAAAACTCAGAGACGTCTCATTGTATAGAGAATTGTTTGCTCTATTGGTCTATGAAGGCTAAACAAAATTATATTCACGTGCTCTAGATGCCGAAGAACTATGATTTTGATATGTGGAGCCCCAGCCTTTCGGAATCTGAAGATAATTTTTATTCCTTTATAGTCTCGGTAGAAACAATTTTCTCTGCTCAAATCACTATTTGGATTCTTTCGAACGCTGGTGGCAATGAAAAAAAAATACCTTGTTGAATTATTTTTATACGCATTGTAAATATGAGTGAAACACATCTTTCAGTACAAACGGTGTACTAAAAAATAAACATAGACATAAACAATGTCTGAGTAGCATATTTGATTATATTTTATGCCTGTATTATATAGCAACATTTCCCAACACTTCATTGAACATGAAGCAAGATACGCAGTGTAAGTTCAATTTTTGCTTGATCAAATGATTAAATTGACTTTATTTGATAAAAAGTCTCAAATTATTTTTGTAGTTCTGCATGGGAAGTGTATTGTCCAGAACAACTCACAATATATTTAGATCGATTTCATGAATTCTTCTAAGTTAAATTATAGTTAGAAAGAATATTTTTGAACTGCTTTAACTGGATATATCTGCAGCAAAAAATGTCATTGTACATTTTATGACGTAATTTGAACATGTTCAGAACAATAAAAGTAAGAGAATTGAAATTGTTATTGTTAATATAACTTTTTCAGCTCTATTCAATCTGAAAGATTGCATGAAATAACAACAACTGTTCATGAGTTATACATTAAACAAGTTTCAAAATATCACCGTAACAAGTAAATGAAAGCATTATGGTCTCAGTGTTGCAGTCCCCTTTTTCTTTGATGCTGAAATAAGAAAAGATAAACATATTTATATGAAAAAAGTCTCTATTATTTGGTATATTAGTTTTCTATTCAAGTCTTTCATAGCCTACAGGGACTGTGGTTTTGTGTCACTCTACTCAAAAAGAATAAGTGTCTGTCATCGAATGTCAAGAACAGACGTATACCAACAGAAAGATGTATAGACCAGTAAATCATATGATTCAATAGATTGATGTCCAAGCTACAGAAAAGTCTGCTTATATTTCTTTTTCTATTTCTTCCTTTTTCCTCAGGCAAACATCTCTTTCACATACGTCTCGCTTATGAATACCAGTTTTCTTCTAACTGTCAATCCTGTAACATAGAAATGATACAAGATAGAAACATGAAATTTATTGTGGGTATGTGGGGGCCTATGAGGGGAATAAAATTTTACAAAAATGCCATTTTACAATTGTTCGATTCGAATGAAAGTTATAGTGTAAATATTCGAAAACAGTAATCGTACGAAATAGTTATAATTTACTCATATATTTAGAGATTATCTTAGATTGATTGAAGCTATAAAATAATAATTTCTCTTAATCTGCGCAATTATTATGCAGTCATAACATGTGTATGTAACAAGAGTAGTTTTGTTCTCTGTGCATTGAAGCACACACACTCATAAATACTAACATAATAGATTGCTTAAAGCAAAACAAAATTTCGTTTTATGGTTTCTCTAGTTGCGATTCTGTAATCGACGATTTACGTCCTTGAACATAAGTAATACGCATTGTTATTTTTAGTAGAACAAAAAAAAACAAAGCATGATTCTGTTTCTTTAAACAATTTGTTGTTTACACTGATCACTCTCGTATATT